TATCTTTGTTTCAGTTTATAACAAGTGTTTAATCAAATTTCATACTTATTATTGACATATAATTTGAATTAATTGTGATATTTTGAAAAAATATCTAATAATAATTTTAATATTATATAATGTGTATGTGTGTGTAAATAATGTGCCTCTATATTATTAAAACAAAAACAATATTCTAATGAAATCATTTTATGAAATCAATTAAATAAATTATAAAAGTTTTATGATTCTACTTATAAAATAATAAATTTCTAATTTATAGAAATTTAATAAATTATTTGGAAATTGAAGTACATATTTTTACAAATTTTTTTTTTTCATCTGTATGTATAGATGTAAGAGAAACCATGCTATGCCATCTCTGTCATATTTGATGACCATTTCTTTAAGTTTCTCAATTTAAATTACAAAAACTGTAAATAATTTTTTATTCTTATTATTTATTGTAACTTTGGTAAGTCATAAAAATTTATTTAAATATAAAATTAATTTCGTAATACGAATGAGGAAAACTGAAAAAAACTGACAGCCAAGCTTTGTTTACCCTTTTAGTTGACGACAAATAAATTATTGAAAGTTTTTGAGAAAAAATTATTTGACAAAAGAATCTCTTGAATTCAATCTTTTGAAATTTGAATTTTTCTGACAGTTGATCTCCTTGGTACAAAGACGGCATATTTCTGCTTTTACCAATTCTTTGTAAATGACTTTTTCTTCTTACTACAAATTACATTTTCCAAGTTCATTAAGTTAAATTGAACAAAAAAAATTAATTAAATTAATTCAACCATAATTTCATTTGTCGAATTAATGCGACATTCACATACGCACTCGCTTGTTCTTCAAGATTAAAGCTTAGCTGTTTTTAAATAGAAATTGAATTAACACTATACTATCTATGTTGAGTCTAAAAAGATAATGCACAGGATTGTTTCCGATATGGAGTAGTCCAATATGTATATTTATTATCTATCTAAATCCCTCAATAAAAATTTAAACTATTTAATTTAAACTATATTTTATTTATAATAAATCAGTCATTTTATAGTTTACAATCTTAACATACTTTCTATTATATTAATTATAAAAAATGATTCACATTATACTTACTTTTACATTAACTGGAAGCAATGAAGCTTATTAAGCTTTTGATATATACCGCTAATAAATATATGTGATACTTCTCTTTAACCTACATTAATAGAGAAATTTTAAATTAAAAATATGCAATGTCAATAACTAATAATTAAGGTTAACTTATTGTAATTAGCTTTTATTCTGTTTATTTTTACTTCTGACCTTTGTTTCACCAAACAATTCATATACGATTGCAATAATTTATAATAGAATGACCTTTTTAGAAAAAGCGAGAAAAGGTTAACATTTTTCATTAATTTGTAAATTAAATTGAAATTTCTGAGTTTTCAATCAAACTAAAAGTGATGATGATTCATAAAATGATAACAATTTTGAAATCAGCTGACAAACTTGAAATATTTCTACATTTACATTACATTTTAACTACATATTTAGTTTAACAAACTCGCATTGAATAACTTACATTTTGTATAACAGATTATCATTTTCGATTTGACTCGATAAATTCATTTTACTTAAATTATATTATTTAAATTGTTCATTTTCTTAAATTTAAAATGAATATTTTTTAGGTATAAATTTTACCTTCAAATTGTTAAAAATATGACTAACTTAAAATCCATTTTTAATTTCATAGAGAAAATACTTTTACAACGGAATGAAAGGAGAAAGAAAATAATAATGAAAAAAAAAATGAAATCCTCATAGGATGTCTAAGTTTTTTATTCAATTATCTTTTTTCTACATATCGATAAGCCTATTTTACAGTGAATGGTCGTTCACTATGTGCAGACATTATATATTTTAATGTTATATAATTATGTATAACAATAGCCATATAATATACGTTTTTGTATATATAATACGCTATATATATATGTATAATAATTTTTAAAATATTTCCAGGATATTTTAAATACCAACCATTAAAAATTTTTTGGTTTTGTATCCATGTTACATATATTAATGATTTTATACAGGGTGGTCCGAAACAGAAGTTGAAGCAAACAGAAGTTAAAACTTTTGAAGGTTGATTTCTTTGATTTTTTCTAGAAAAAAAATTGTTTGTTTGGTGGAGGGGAACGAGTGGAACTTGGACGTCTAAAGGTAGCTTTGGAGCTTTTTATATAAAATTAAATTGAAAAAGCTTTTTAGCTAATAGATTGAGTTAATAACATTGACATCAATGTTTGATTTTAGGCTTCCCACTTTTGAGCAAAAGCTGATTAAATGTGAAATTTTGAATTGGAAAGTTGAAAATTTTTCAAAAAACTTTAGTTATCTACATCATTCTCTACAATTTGGTCTAACATATAATTTTTATATCCCACGTACTGTTACAAAAACAATTTTTAATTTTAATGGCCAGTTCGGGAACATCCCGTATATGAACTTGTATACATACATTAATACTTAAGTATATATCAAAAATTTATTCTGTTAAATTTATCCATTAAATATATTCCCATGCATAAAAATTTATTCTTATATAATAAGCCGAAAATCTAAAAGAAAAGCAAAAAAAAAAAACAAAACACAAAAATAAATAAAATATAAAATTCTATAAAACGTACTAAAAGAGAAAAGATATGAAAATAAGGAGAAAATCCTTCGAAATAATCTTGATAATCCATTAGAGATTTTTGAACTTATGTAATTTTAGAAGACAACTTAACATTTACAACAAAGTAAAATGAAAAAAAAAATGAATTTTTATTGTTATTTTTATTTTTCTTCGTTTTTTTATTTTTGCTCTCCTTTTGTTTTTTTTTAATATTAATTATTCAAATAAAAGGTACAATAATAATTTAAATATTTATGTATGTATGTTCATTGTACACTACTGTTTATTTGTATAAAAGGAAGCATGTACATACATATTTATTTTTGGAAAAGTACAAATTGTTTTTTTTTGTTTTCGAAAACATCACATTTTAAATAGATTCTAAAATTGGATTGTGTTGTGGTTAAGATTTTACGATTTTCTATACGCCATCTATGTATGAGTATATGAGTAAAGAATTTTTCGTGCCACAAAAATCGATATGTAATTTAATTTATAAATTGTAAATAGAGCTAAATACAGCTAAATAATCAAAACATTTACGATATGTTGAAAAATCATTATGAAAATTAAATTACAAAAATATTAATTTAAGAAAAATAAACTCTTGCAAATTTTCAATTAAACTAAATGATTTCCAAATAAAATTTTATCTAATTATACATAATATTTAAAGAGATTTTTTCTCTATAGCTAGCAGTTAATAAGGTTATGCAATTATAAATCTCTTTGATAGAGAAATGTTGTTAATCATAATATTTGACATGTTTGAATTTCGAAATTATGGTAGCTTGCAATAATATCGTAAAAATTATATTAAAGCCCTTATCTTACAAAAACACCTAAATTTTTTGAATATTGCGCCAGTTTTACCATAAATGCAAATTAAGTACTTGCAACCAAACAAGTTAGAACCGGGTCTTTTTCGCTATGCTGATAGCACTGGTTATTCAATAGAAATTGAATTTATTTTTGAATATGGTAAAAAATTTTATGGACTTTTTAAAAATAGTTCTTCTTTATTAAACATATGTATATGTAGATTCACATGTTATACATACATTTACGCAATTTAACATAATAATAAGAATTTAAATAAATTTTTGTTTTCAAAATTTACGGATCTTTCATTATTTCATTTGCATAATTATCTAACTATTAGATCCATTATTATACATACAGATTTTCTTTATTACGGTCACCTAATTAAATTTAATTGGAATGGTTTGAAAAAAAAAAATCGTTTACATTATGTAGGCTTAACCTTATACCTTATTATTAAATAATCTTTTTTTTTATAAATATTTTATACAAAAGAAAAAATTTTTGTTACCAATATTATGTTAATAATTTAAGATATTAAAAATAATATTCTTGCTATTTAAATTCGAAAATTTTGTACAACACACAAAAAATTTAGGAAAACTAATTACATATGCTAACAAACTGTTTATGATTTTATCAGGTTTTATTATATCAAATTCATATACTTTGGGTTAATTTCCAAAATTCAGGGTCAATGTAAAAAAAAAATTTTGAGAAATAATTTCCAAAATTTCAAAATTAATTGAAAAAAATTAGGTACATACAACATTTACTACCTTTCGGTCATTATTTCAAGATTTAAATTATGCGTCCAACATAATTCAAAAATTGCACATTATTCATTAAATATAGGCTAATTTTTTTTTTGCTGTTTAGACTTGTTTTGTTTTTGACATATCACGCGTGATTCTTTACAGTATTGTCAAAGACTGCAATTGACTTTCCTTTTAAGATAAAATACAACAGTTCCGAATCGTCATATAAAGACGATTTTATATCTTTAGATTACTTTTTGTCAGAATATTTGAATAAAAACCAATTATAGGATATTTCGAAGTGATAAAAATTTGGACATTTTTCTATGTTTTTCTTTATATTCAAGATGACATGTATTACACTTATTTTCGAAATGTTATCTTTGAAAGAATGCTCGTATGTATATAAATTATAGTTCCAAGACTTTGTTCATATGTTTTTTTAATATTTAAAAATAGAGAATTAAATATAGGGAATTTTGTTTCTTCTAATTTTTTTGCTGTCTAAATTTTAAAAAAAATACTTTTAAAATTCTTCACATATGCATAATTGTGGACAACACAAAAACTTTTAAAGTTTTCAGTAGCAACTTTGGTTGTTATTTCTAAAAATTTTCAAATGCTTATATAACAAAAATTTTAATTTATATATTTACTATATTACTTGTATACATTGCCAACACCGCTGTATATTTATTATATATGTATTAAGAACTATTTTATATAATATAACATTATTTATTGTTTATCATTTTTAGTCGTCCGAAGAAAAATATTCTGTATCAAATTTACAAATAACAAATGAACAAATTCAATCGAGTGGTGCTAACAGTAATGAACCAGAACGTGGTAATTGGACTGGACGTTTTGATTTTTTACTATCTTTATTAGGATATTCAGTTGGTTTAGGAAATGTTTGGAGATTTCCATATCTTTGTTATAATAATGGTGGTGGTAAGTATTAAATTTTCTTATATATATAGAATTACGAAATTATGGAATTTTCTCAATTTGATTTTTCATTTTTTCTTCATATGCTACATAAAAATTACTGAAATTTGTATATGTTTTAATTTACACATATTTAATACTTCATAGTCACTTAGCTTATCCACTTTTACACAAGCACACGTTTTCAATGTTTGATTTCTTTAGAAAAATTTTTTTTTTCTATTTTATATTAAAAATTAAATTAAATTTTTTTTTTATTTTAAATTTTTATAGGAGCATTTTTAATACCATTTACAATAATGTTAATAATAGCTGGATTACCATTAATGTTTATGGAATTATCATTTGGGCAATATGCTGCTGTAGGTCCAGTTGCAATATATCGACGATTTTGTCCATTAATGCGTGGCCTCGGTACTGGAATGATAATTGTTTCAGCAATCGTTATGCTTTATTATAATTTAATTATTGCTTGGACAATATTTTATATGTTTGCATCATTAACAACTGAACTGCCATGGCAAAATTGTGAAAAAGACTGGAGTACAGAACGTAAGTTATATGAGATAAAAAACTTTGTTTTTTTTTTATATTTGATTTTTGAAAATTCAATTTTTATTTAATTTTCATTTAATTCAATTTTTAAATTCAAAATTTGCTTAAACGACGTTTAAAAGAAAATCCATGTAAATGCAATTGTTATAACTTGTCATTTTGACCAGTTGGTATACTTCTATACAATATCTACTTATTTATGTAAAAATATATATGCATATGTAATATATTATAACCATTAAAAAAGTAATATTTTATTCGAAAATTTCAAAATAATTAAAAAGGCTACATATCTTCTGATATCACATAAATGCAATGTATATACTCGTACATATACATATATACATGTATAAAAATTTAAGATATTTTGTATATACCATTGTAAAAATGTACAACAATTGAACTACTTTAATATTTTTTTTTTTACTTTTATATTGATGCAATTCTCTATATAAAAAATTGAAAATTTAATTTAATCTGGATCCAATATTTTTTTCATCCCACACAGTTTATACACAATATAAGCGAGTCTTAAAATTTTTAGATTTTAAATTAAAAAAGAAAAAAGAATATAATAAAATTCTATTATAGATAACATTTTGATTTTGCACAAAATCAATATCTATTTAAAAATAGATTCATACATTAATAGACAAACATACAAACGTATGTATTTAAAAAGTTAAAAGGGGTTTATAAAACTAGTGAAAAACATGCCAAAATATTTAAAACGATATTAAATTTTCTTTATAATTTTTTTTCTTTTATTAATATTTTGTGCTTATTTGTTTAAGGCATTATATTAAATTATATCAAATTAAATGTATATATATGTATATATATATATACAATTATTGTTAAAATGGCTTTAACTAATATTTAAAAAAATAAAAAAACCAATATAGTACTTTCATTCTATAGTGCCTGGCATTTTATCATCCCTATATATCAAGGATAATTTTCAAATTGAACAACTGAAAGTTTTAAAAAAAATCTGAGCAATTAGAAAAATTAGCTAACAAAATTTCAAGTTTTAAAAATCTTTATCAACTGTATAAATTTTGTTTCTTCCCTAAAAGTATGCAATTGTAGACTTTCTTGGAATGAATATTTTTTTCAACAAAACGTACAAAATTTTTAACTAATCGAAAACAAACATTGCTCTTTTATATTTAAAAAACTAAAAATTACAGTGGATTGCTTCTAGCGATTGATTATTTAATTTTAAGTCAGTTATATAAATTACTACGAGTACTCGTATATAGGGCAATTTTATTTTATTTCTCAAAATTGTAAAGTTAGGCACACATTTTTATAGAATTTTAAAATTCAATTTCGTAAGTTATACCGTAGGTAATTTTTAAATATAATGAAATAATTGTCTTGTATTTAGAGAACAAGCACACATAAAATATTTAAAGAAAGAATACAATTAAAGTTGATTATAAACAAAATAACAAATTTATTATACATCGCATCCAAGCAATATTTTTCATATATAAATATACCATTCATATATATGTAAGTTTCATTCGTAATAAAAATGGATACTAAAGAACGATCAAATAAAATATTAGTTGTGTAAAATGTTAAAAACAAATGAAACTTTTCTACATACATATATGTGTATGTATATATATATATATATATTTAATGCTACTTTACTTTATCTAATATTTTAACTATTTATATTCACTACAATACATACAATATGTTATTTTTTTTAAATTTCTGCCTTGCATGTATACATACATACATAGGAGATAACAATAATTTTGACCTTGGTTAAGACAAAATTTATTATAAGAGCATATCCGTTCGAGATGTTGTAATATATACCATATTTATATATAAGAGATCTATGTAATTTTTGTTAAAATATAAAATTTTTATGAAATAATGTAACATACTATATATATATAAATATGTATGTGTATGTTGTTATGTTGTGATAATATGATATCGTAAATGACCTTTAAAGTAAAATTTCCTCATCAAAATCAATAAAAAAAATTTTATGTTATAGAAAGGAAAAAAAAACAAAAAAAAATTTTTTTTATTGCTTTAACAAGCTTACATATGTAAGTATATGTATATGTGTTTGTGTATATTTAAGAAAATAAACGAACAAAAAATAGGTTTCTACTTTTATTAAATGTGCGCTACTTTTTTAAGTTAATCATCATGATCTTCCTTCATTTTGATTGTAGATATGTTTGTACTCGTACATATAGAGAACAGGCTTTAAAAAAATTTTTTTTTTTTTGAAAATTTTGTACTAAGAAAATATTTTGATTGTTAAATTAAATCTCTTTATAAACTATATTAAATTGATAATGGTTTTAAAATAGAGCTGTAAAACCTACACATATACAAGATTGGAAAAAAATAATTATATGTACACATCCTACATACTCATATCTATTCCATAAATATTATGTGCTGTAACAACTTATTCTTTATAAAACTTTTCCAATTATTTTGTTAATTTTTTTTTATTTAATTAAAACTAATTCTGAAAACAAAATAATTTTAATTTTAATTTCAGATTGTTATTCATATGAAATGGCTGATAAATGTGAAGCAATTAATGGAACTTATTATTTAAGAAACTGTTATAATAGTAGTTCTCCTGATTTTAATAATTATACTGATTTAGCATTACATGCTCTTAAAAGGCCTCCAGCTGAGGAATATTTTACGTGAGTTTTATTTTCTTTAATTATAATTGAATTAATATTTTATTAATTAAATTTATTTTTTAAATTGTAACTATTAAAAATTAAATTATTTATAATTTATTAAATAAAATTTAATTATTTTTATACTCGTTTAACAATATTTAATCGTATACTTTTAAAATTAATTTAATTTAAAAATTTAATTTGCTGTTTTGTACCCAAAAAAATTGATTTTATATTTAACAAATTTGCAAAAATTAAACCGATAAACAATATCTTATAAGACAGGGTTAACAAATTTTATTTCATTAATTTCGAATACACCCAAACCTCGCTTTACGGCCTAGATACGTTCCGCAAAACTTGGCCGTAAAGCGAAAAGCCGTATAACGAATCAATTATTCTAATACGTATTCATACAAATTCAATGGGATCGGTTCCAAATTTGATAAATATATAATATGGTTTATCATTCAAAATGCATTTTATTTTTTTATTTTGTTTAAATTATAAACATATTTAACAAGAACATAAATTTTACATAAAATAAAAAACTCCAAAAACATTACATAATTTTTAAATAAAAATGAAACAACTAAAACCTACAGATCACTGTCATCATCATTTTGCGCTGGTGGTTTGAAAAAATTGTCTAAAGTTGTTTGTCTTGCCTTCTTGTCTATTTCTTCCTTTAGTGATTTATAACAGCTAATGGCTGAGTTAATTCCTCGAGACACATTAGCGCTACGTTCGACGTCAGGATCGTTTTCAAGGAGGATGTTTATTCCTTGTTCAAAATAAGAAAAAGCGCTCGAAATGATTTTTGATGTTAGCTGTTTGGATACAACAGGCTCTGTACCTTCATCAATTGCTGGTTCTGCTTGCAACTGAATGAGTTCCTCATATGAAAGGGGTTCTCTATCAGCTGCAAGTAGATCCAGCACATCAGATTCGTTTAAATCTTCAAAACCGAGATCATGTGCTAAATCCAAAATATTTTGTCTAACTTCAGGAAGGAAATTAACTTCTGCATCGGTAGTTTTTATACATTCTGGCCATATTTTTTTCCAAACATGGTTCATTGTTGTCGATTTTAATTCCTTCCAGGATTCACTAATGTTCTCAACAGCATCCTTGATATTATAGTTTTTCCAAAACGTTTTAATTGATGATGTACCATCGGTTTCACTTATAAGTTGTTGGAATGTTCGGCGTAGGTAATATGCTTTAAACGTGGCTATTGCACCCTGATCCATTGGTTGGATCAGAGCTGTTGTATTTTTCGGAAGGTACTCAATCATCACATCTTCTGATAGTTCGGATAAATTAGTAGGATGCCCTGGTGCATTATCTAAAATTAGCAAAGCCTTGTTGCTTAAGTTATTGTCTAGTAAATATTTTTTGACTTCTGTACAAAAGTGATTTTTGAACCAATCCTCAAAAATAGCTTTAGTCATCCAAGCTTTTTTGTTGGATCTCCATATGACGGGTAATTGATTTTTATTTAATCTTTTAAAAGGCCTTGGATTTTCGGACAAATATATCAAAAGTGGTTTTAGCTTAAAATCACCCGTAGCATTTGCACCAAGTAGCAACGTTAAACGTTCTTTGGACACCTTATAACCAGGCGCAGATTTTTCGGTTTTTGAAACGTATGTGCGATCAGGCATTCGCTTCCAATAAAGCCCTGTTTCGTCTACGTTAAACACTTGCTCAGGTTTATAACCACCTCTTTCAATAATTCCTTTTAAAATGTTGGGATATTCGTTAGATGCGGCCTCATCGGCGCTAGCTGCTTCACCTTTCAATTTCAAATTATGCAAATTAAATCTATTTTTAAATTTTTCAAACCATCCTCGACTTGCTTGGAATGTGACATCTTCAGATTCATTGGTATCTCCTTTCTTCAAATTTTCGAAAATACCCAAAGCTTTTTCCTGGATAGTCATTTTACTCATTGGAATTTTCCGTTTGTTATTGTCCTCAATCCATATAATCAATAGTTTTTCCATTTTTTCCATAATCCAATTTCTATGGCGTGTTAATCTTGAGATATTTAAAGGTGCAGCAGATTCCAAATATGCTTTAATATCCTCCTTTTTATCGCGAATAGTTTGAATGCTCGATTTCGCAAGTCCCATTGCCTTGGATATTTCAACAATTTTCTCTCCAGCTTCTATACGACGTAATACTTCTTTTTTAGTTTCTAGCGTGATTGCTTTGCGGCATCTTTTTTTATCAGTCTCCGAAGTCGGTAATCGTTTCGTTGCCATTTTGTCTAAAAAATAATGAAATTCTAAATTAAAAATACATATCAAAATTTTTTTAAAATTGTAAAAAATGAGTACTTACCGTCCAAAAATGTTTCTAATTGTTTACAACTTTTTCAGTTAATTTGTAACAATCACTAATAAATATGTACATAAAACACTCACAGACAAATCTAAACCAGTCGCATTATAAGTACACACTGAATAACACTCGTAAACAAGGGAAACACAAAGAAATAAAGATTGCGCTTGCGCAATATATCGACATAGAAAAAAAAAGCCGTTATAGCAAAACATTTTAGGCCGTATATTGAAAACGTACCTTAATTAAAGAGGGCCGTTATAGCGAAAGGCCGTATAAAGAGCGGCCGTATAGCGAGGCTTCAGTGTATGCCAAAAAGAAATGCTCAAAAAAATGTCATATAAAATGTTGCGGTTTCTTAAATATTTGGAATTATTGACTAGTTTTTTTACATATGTATGTTGTACAACAATTATTATTTACAATGCTTTGGAAAATTTTTCAATAATCTTCTAAAAAATGAAGTAAATGCGAATATAATTTTCGGAGAGCACCATACTATTTTCGATACATTTTAAATAAATATTTAAAAATACATTAAATTTGTTATTTAATAATTATTCAATATCATTATTAAGCCTAAGAGAAAAATCAAGATTTTAAATTTTGTAAACTCTAAATTAAGTAGTTCTAAAACAAAAAATTTTGCTTAATTTATGCTTCATTTTACATTTCACTTAATAACGAAAAATCCACAGCAAAAATTATAAAAATAAAATAAATAAATTGTACATAATATTTAAAACCAAAGCTAAAACACAAACTTAATTTAGCATTCATACAATTCCACAGGAATTTCAAGAAATTCTTCCTTTTGGTATTCTTTTATTTATCGAAGTTTTTTATTTATTTTTGTTTTTTTTTTTTGTGTTTGTGTTTTAAATCATATAATTTTATTAATCATATCCCTAAAAGTATAATGACACATTTTAAAATTTGAAGTTCCAAAATGAGATGAAGTTCCAAAATGTAAAAGCTACTATCCGTCCTAAGGTGTCAATACAGTCGGTATGCTAAGATATTCACTTGAAAATTTGACAGCTGCAAATTACAGAAGAAAAATTTACTCTTTAATGAACTTCAAAATTATTTTTTTTTTCTCAATTTTGAATAGTGCTCACTGTAAAAACATGTTACTTGACAACAAAGTCAAGTCATTATTGTTGTTTTACTATAGAAAATTTTGAAACAGTTGCATTTTATCGTGCTATTTTGCATCTCGATTACATTATGTTTTACTCGACGTAAAATTAGAAAAAATTTTGAAGTAATTGTCAAATTTTGAAGTACATATTTGCATTCTGATTCTTTTTGTAACTTAAAAAAGCTAACAAGAAAAACCAATTGTGTATTTGTATTGTGTAAAATTTGTATAAAAGTTCTTATCACATTTATAGAGCATACTTTTAGGGGTGCAATAAACCTGTTCGTATTTTATTATAATGTGTAATAAAATTGTTTTGAATTGATATTTTTTTGTTTTGTTTTTTTTTTTCTTAAATATCTTTTTTATTCTTTTATATAGCATTATAACATTTATATTAATTTTATTTTATTTCCTCTTTTTTTGTATATACGTATATATATATTTCATTTTTTATACATAGACATTACGTCCTTGGAATATCATCAGGAATTGAAGAAACTGGAAGTATTAAAATTGAATTAGCCTTGTGTTTACTTGCAGCTTGGATAATAGTATTTTTATGTTTATGTAAAGGAGTTCAATCTTCTGGAAAAGTTGTTTACTTTACAGCTTTATTTCCTTACGTAGTCCTTGTAATATTATTTTTTCGTGGTGTTACATTACCAGGTGCTAAAACAGGAATTCTATTTTATTTAACACCCGATTTTAAACAATTGGCTAATGCCCAAGTAAGTATTTATACAAAATTTATTTTTATTTTTGTATCATTATCAAAGACATGAAACAAAAGAAAATAAAATAATATTTACAATTTTCAATTTATTTTATATTCAAAAAAAAAAAATAAATATGTATAATTTGTGTATTGTGAATAATTTTAAGTTTTACGATAATCTTAATATAAACTCAACGAATATAAGTGATATTGCTTTTCACTTTGAGCTATAATATTTTTATAGAAAACATGAAGCCTGAAAATTATGTATCAAATGTATTTATAGTATTACGTCATCCGGAAATTGAGTGTCCTCGAATAATCTGCATCTCTTTGCAACACACACCTTCCCGCTGAATCCATTGAAGTTCCTTGAAAATGTTCAGCATATCACCCAAAGACGAACCGATATCCTCACAAAAGACGTCTCCTGTCCCACATCAGAGCGAGGCACACGCAGAGCACGTAACGCACATTCTATACTACTCCGATGTAAAGACATCTCCGACAAAAATCAGATGGCGAAAAATTCCGCCTCCTTACCATCTTCTCCAATAAACAGTGCCCCCTGAAAATGCTAGTAACTATCTCATCCTTGCAACGGTCCTCTTCGACCACAGGATCCTTGTCGTTGTACAAGTCTATCCTCTATAACAAAACAAGTTGCCCCTCCTTATAACTTCCTATAGTCTATTTTTTTTTTTCCTTCTTCACTCCTATAAGGAGTATAGGGCTATAGTCATAGAGAGTTAGCTAGGTAGGTGACTAGCCTACCGTAATTTTTATTTATATTAAATATTTCAGTTTATTAATATTTACTGTTTATTTTTCTTAGCCTTTAGTATCGAATATTATGAATATTTGAAAATTACTTGTATATATTATTTATTAGTATTGCATATTAAGTTATATAATATTGAATATAATTTTTATAGTGACCTGACCGGGGTTTGAACCCGAGACCCTTCGGTTAAAGGGCCGGTGCCATAACCACTGCACCAATGATCAGGTCCTATAGTCTATCGCATTATTTAACTCTCCCAATGGCGGAAGCACCGAATAATCCATTGCCGCAGTGTCGGCTTCCGTCCCAATCTTTCATTCCATTCGACTTTACTGCGCCTCGGAACCCAGCATAATGTCACTTTATATAGCCCACATAATACCTTCAAGGTTGGCCTGCAACACCCAACTAATTCAGATTTGACAGTTCACGAACCCAGCGGCTGAAGAACCAGGGTAGTTCTCACAGGTTGACATGGAATATAATTCATCCGCCTATGATTGTTCCGTTTACAAAAATCTAAAAATAATGAAAAAACGGTTGTTCTTACAAACTTTATAGTATATAGAAAATAAGAAGATTTGTTGAAGCGCTAGCTTTTTATAGTCTATTAAAACTTATATATAAGGTTTTCAATTTTTCTCACACTTCCTGAATAACTTAGGTATTTACTAAAACTGTTTAAATTGAATATAGTCACCGTATATAATAAGAATTGCTTTGCGCTGAAAGTTTGGTGAATAAATTTTGATTAATTGAAATTAAATTATATTTCATGATAACAAATTTCATATACAAATCGAAATTCATTTGCAAATTTCATATACAAATCGAAATTACCAAAATTTTTTACCAAGATCTTACTTAAACATATTGTGGTAGCTATTATAACCATATATTATTTACGTGTATTAAAAAAAAAAAAACAAAAAATATATAAGAGATTTTCCTTTTATTCGTGCTCGTGCAAAAACCATTTACTTTTTCTTTACGAAAATTTCTAAACGCATATAAAAAAAAACTGTTATAATTTCGTATCAAATTTTGTTTTATTTTATCTACATACATACATATACGTTATATATGTATATTATTATTTTATTATAAAATATTTTAAATAATAAAAATGATATTTAGTGTCTAATGTAACTTCTCTATTTTATTATTATTGTTATACCTTCCTTCATTCAATTGAAACATTTATATTCGTTACTATTGTTAAGTTGCTAAAGGACTTAAGTTTTTAAAATAAAAAAGAAAAAAATATTCACGTACGATGTATATATATATATCATAATATATGAGTGAGTACCTATACAGTATATGTATGTGTACATATTTTGTAGCACAGGAAATGAGTTTTCGTGCCAGGAATTAAATTGAAATATTTGTATACAAAATAGAATTGTTAAATGAACATTAGCATAACGGTAAAAAGTAAAAATATATATATATATATATATACGTTAAATAAAAAAATAAACTATGAAACTAAGGAGAATTATTTTCAAAAAATAAAACAAAAGTATTTTTTCTCTTTTAACTTATACCTATAGTCTAAAGAAACAGAAAGGAGAAAAGGAGGGAAGGAGGCGTACAGAACAAAAAAAAAAATAAAAAGCAACAAGTAAAAGAAAAAAAAAAAACAAAATTTTTATTTTGCCACGTCGACAATACTGTTGATTTTTATATGTAAAACTTTTCAGTAAAATAATTTTTATTGCCATTTAAAGAGTCAATTTTTTAAGGAAATTTTGTTTTTATAAATTTCCATTACTTCAATTTTATAATATCCTTGGATACAACACAATTAACTGTAAATATAAAGAGTATATATAAAACCGAATGGATGTAGTAAAGGACGGAGGGGGGAGGGGGGGGGAGGGAGCTCTGGTTTCGCGTAAATATAAATAACAGCTTTGATATCATTTTCAAATAATGATTACTTAAAAATAAAATTTTGCATTAAAAAATTGATTTAAAAAAAAAAATTGGTTTCAAAAACTTTATTCAACTCTGCAAAAATTCATTTTTTTAGGACGCGCTTAATTATCCCCTGACAACTACAAAATAATTATATAAACTACAAGTTTGTCAGGCAAAGTAATAATTTGTATGTTTTTGTATTTTGCCGGTTTATTTTTTTATTTCAAATAACTTCTAATTTTATTAAATTATTATCGTGGACTCATATATGGTTATAAATTCCTCAAAATGAAAAAACCTCTGAAATAAAATAAAAAAAATTAAATTTATCGAATAAAATAGACACACGAAAATGGAAGCTTGAAATTGGGGGGATTTATAATCTTTTATTTCAAATAAATTTTTTCAAGTGCGCAAAGTTCATATGAGTGATTGCTGTTTTTGCTCTTGTCCGCTTTTCAAATATATGCAGAAATCATGTGCTAAACCACAAGAGTTCAGACTACTACATTCTCAGAAAGTGATAAGCAAACCACGAGAGCATTAATTATAACCCTCGTATTTGACGTCTTTATTACCATCATCCGCATTTAATTCATTATGCATCCGCAAACATGAATTCATAAACAAGAATCATTTTGGAAAGCTGAACTATTCTAGAAGTTGGGTTTGACAGTTTCAATAATTCGGATATAGTTAAGACGGACATACGTCATAAATTAAAAAAATAATTTTTGAATTTTTAATTAAGGTATGATCAAATTAATACAAAAATGTAAAATATCTAATTGAAATCAATGAAAAATATTGTCTAACGTAGAATATTTTTCGCTAAAAACATCACGAAATTACACAACATCACCACTCAGTTTAATTCGCTCAGTTGTTTACCTTAACGAAAGTGACATTACCAGCAAAAAGCACTTACATATTCAAATTTCATGTTTTTTAATTTTATTAAATTGATTTTTTAAAATTGAATATTTTTTCACTTTTTTTTATTATTTTATTTGAAGGTGTGGGGTGATGCTGCAGTTCAAATATTTTTTGCATTGAGTCCAGCATGGGGTGGCTTAATCACACTTTCATCTTACAACAAATTCACGAATAATTGCTACAAGTAAGTAAAAGTTTAAACCTAGTTCTATAACATTTCTTCATCTAAATTTTTTTATTTTCCAACTAAAGAAAATATTAAAATCATTTTACCAAACTGTAATATCTGCGATATAGATTTACTTAAAATTTAACCACACATTCAACTATTTACCGCATTATAGCTCTAATATATTTTTTTTTGTCACAAGGGATTCACTGATAGTGGCTGTATCAAATATTTTAACATCATTTTTTGCTGGTCTCGTAATATTTTCTATTATTGGATTTCTCGCACATGAATTAGATGTTGAAGTAGAAAAAGTTGTTGATCAAGGCGCTGGTTTGGCATTCATTGTTTATCCTGAAGTAGTAACAAGGCTTCCAATTTCTCCTGTATGGTCGGTGCTATTTTTTGTTATGTTGTTAACCTTAGGTTTAGATTCTCAGGTACGTGCATCTAATTTATGATTTTTTCCCTTTCTTTAAAATTTTTTATTTCAGTTTGCTCTTATGGAAACGGTTATAACGGCTGTTTTAGATAAGTTTCCTAATTTAAGACAATATAAAGTTTGGGTAGTTTTATCTGTTGCTTTATTTGGTTATTGCGGCGGTTTGGGTTTTACCACAAACGTAAGCAACAATTAATAAAATGATAAAAAGAAAGATAAAAGAAAAATAATTATAACAAAAAATTTTGTATTGCTTTATTTCTAAATAGAGCGGCATGTATTGGCTTCAGTTGATGGATAAATATGCAGCAAACTGGTCCGTATTATTAATAGCAATATCTGAATGTGTTCTTATATCTTGGCTGTATGGTTCAGAAAGATTTTTAAATGATATTCAAGGAATGATTGGTAAAAAATCAAAATGTTGGATATATTTTTGGGCAATAATGTGGCGGTTTATTACACCAGCTGCACTTTTGGTTAGTACATACATAAATAAGAAAGTCAAATATAAAATGAAATTATTTGAAGAATTACTTACTTTTATTCTTCTATGCGTATTTTTTTAGTTTATATTATTTTTTAATTGGGTTGAATATAAACCCGCACAATATGGAAACTATATTTATCCAATGTGGGCCGATGCTGTCGGTTGGATAATTGGTCTTTTACCAGTTGTTGTGATAATTATAACAGCAATAATACAATTATTTGATGCTCCAGCAAATTTATCATTATGTGAAAAACTTAGATCTCAAATGCGTCCAACAGCAGAATGGGGTCCTGCTGGTCAACCATGTTATATCCCTCCAAATGTAAAATACTTGAGTAATACATATGATAGTGTAACAAATACTAGAGTATTAATCGATGGGTCAGTCGAAGATTCACCACCACCAGCACCACGTAAACACGATAATGATGGTGGTGGTGGAATACGATTTGAAGCAAGAATACATAGTAGTAATGATAGCAGTTTTCATGACGAGGGTTTGCAACTCTGAGAGCGAGTTTTAGCACCCCGTAATGAAAACGCTTCATTAGAAGGTGCTGCATTAACCAAAAATAACAAAGTAAGCTGATTACAAAATAAATAAATGATAAAATTTTATCGTATTATATATTTTACTTTTAGTTTAAAGAACATTCGTACGAGTATTCACCTGTAGTTGTGATTTCTGATGAAAAACAAACAAAGCTTCCCGGTCCCAGTATATTAAAAGCAGCGAAAAATGGGAAAAATATTGCCAAGCAAAGATCTTCGCCGACAGATGTCAGTCCAAGTAAACAACCGTTATTAGATCCGAAACTTAGAAATAATGATAGCGTTGCAAGCGATTTAAATGAAACTGTTACACATTTACCAATGACAAAAGTAACAGCAACTATTATTTTACCAAGTGGTACGACAGCCGCAAATGTTATATCAGGATCTTTGGGTGGTGGCAGAGAAATAATTTTAACAACCTTCGGTGATCAAAACACTGCTACAAAAACAAAGCAACTTAGCGATAACAAAAAATTAGATCATCAAACTATAGGAACAGATGTAACAATATCTTTAAATTCAACTGCAAATACAGTTACCAATGTTGTTGGAAAAAATGCTTCCACTGGGATCGGATCTACTGGCTCAACTATTTTACAAAATAATATACCAACAACAACTAAAACAGTAGCTTCAATAAATATTTCAAATGTAATTTCAAAATCTAGCATGCATGATAAAGAAATTGCAACTACACAAAGCACATCGAAATTATCGACACAAACAAAAACAACAACTTCTATTAAAGATATTACAATGTGTGCTTCACCGCAGACTGCATCAACTAGCACGACTACTAGTAATAATATTAATAAACTACAAAATAACATAGATTCTTTAAGTAAATCGAGCAAATTAAATGAGAAACCAATTAGTTTAAAAACTTTCCAACCAGCAGGAATTAAGCAAACTTCAACGAATATTTCGACTAGTTCAGTTTCTGCAACAAGTTCGTTGGCCAAGCCAACCTTAGCAACGAGTTCTCAAAAAACCGCAGTTAGTTCAAATAAGAATTTGGATAAAAAGACCACTATCAAAGATTCAAAAACAACAGATTCATCATTAAAGAAAATTAATGAAAATATTAAACCTACTTCTAGTTCAATTAGCACCACAAGTGTAACTACAACGACAGCGACATCTAAATTAAATAAAACGAATCAATTGAAGACTGCAGTATCTCCTTCTGTAGTAACAAAAGTTAGTCCAAGTTCATCTATAAATAATACAAAAGCTGACACAAAAGTAACCCTTACAACTGCCACATCTACGAAATCAATAACTAGCGTAGCAAAACTAAAAACATCAAATTTAGAAAATAATACATCAACTCCCATTACTAAAACGAATATAGCATCCAGTACAACAATTACATCAACTTCATCTAACCCATCTTCTTCAAAATTAACCACAAATAAATTAGTTACCACACCATCTAGCGGAAAATCTGCAACACCATTAAAAAGTAATGTAGTAGTGACAATTAGTAACAATAAAGCAAACACTAATACATCAATAATTAATAGTAAAACAAGTACGGATATCATCACTACGAAATCTAATACAATTTTAACACAAAATATATCGACTTCTACAAGTTCTTCTACATCAGGAAAACCAATTACAACTGTAACGACATCTCCAATAGCTTCAAATTCGCAACAAAAACAGCAATCACCTAAAGGTGATGTTGGGACATCTAGTATTAAAACCACAAATTCCTTATCTACTAAAAGTAATGCAAATACAACCACTTCTATAACAAACACAAGTAACAAGTCCAAATCGTCAACTACAGCGACAGAAACCAAAAGTTCAACAACTTTATCTAAAACTAAATCAAATAATGGTGTTACAAAGAAATAAAATAGGACTGCTTTAGTATTATTGAAATTACTAATTTAAGTTTTCGAATGCTAAGTGTAAAGATAACTAGAATATTAAAAAAACGCATTTTAGGTCAAAATATGAATATGTGTAACAAACTACTATGTATTTCATAACAAACATTAGATTATTCGATCATAATAGCAGTTAAAAAAATCAAAAAACCAATTGGAATCCTAACGCATCTTCAAAGATATAAGAATTAAATTGAAATGTTTAGAAGCTTCAATTAAAAAACGGTAAACTTTTAAGTAACTTTTTATAAAGATCTCCTTTGATTTTCTATTGTCGACTAAATTAATTTTTATTCAAAGCATTATGAATGCCAAAATGATAGTTAATAGGTAAAAGGGGTAATTGTGGAGTAATCCAAAAATAGTTATCATCAATGGGCAGCTTGAGTCTAGAACATAATATCGGTTCATTGTCTTCCATGGGTCATTGCCTCCTCATGACTTTCTCTATCGATCTTGTTCTCTTCGTTTATCTCCATTTACGTAAATCTCCCTTGCCTCGAATTTCTTCTTAATTTTTCAAGAACTGTTTTTTTTATTGTCACTTTTTCTTTTTAAAAGCGGTCGCTTTCATTTCTATACACATACATAAATATAAATTGCACACTTTTTCAGTATATTAAACATACATGTATACATGTGCATACATGCGCTACACACGTTCGATTTTTAAACGTTACGTAGCGTGGTCTTTCAAATTTGAGCTCAGACGTAAAGCATTCAAAATTTTCTGCAAATTGAGTAGAGTGTACTGCATAAAACAAAAAATACAAGATCGTACAAAAAAATTTACAAAAAAAGCACAAATATTTTACAAAATCGGTGCTGCCACAAATATAGAGAGGTCGTAATGAACGTAAAAGAAGAATAAAGCTGACGTAATAAAGTTGCTTATATTATTTTTTAACGTAAAAGTAAAAGGAGAAAGGAATCGCGATGGTAAATGACATCATACTATCATTTAAATTTTTAAATTAAGAACTACTCTATATAATTATATAGATTTCGTAAAATTTAAACCAAAATCGTAGGTCATTTTAAAAGATAATTATTTCCTTCTCAATAAAAATTTTAAAAGTATAATTGAAATTAAATTAAATTAATTTAATTGCATTTATGTGAAATTCTTAAGTTTTAACATGAAATAATTATTTAAATTTTTGTTTCTATAAAATTGCAATTATTTTAAACAAAAAAAAAATACAAACTAGATAATTTTCAATAACACTAAAAGCATAAGAGAACTTAAGTACCTTTTCACATTTAAATGAAGATTAAAAATGAGCTATTGAGTACCTGAAAAAACAAAAATAATAAATGAAAAGAGGAGACTTTTGACGCCTTGATTGCGATAAAGACAAAATACTATGGCATAATATAAAAATTTTGTACTTCACTCGGAATTTTCTAAATACCAACCACTTATAATTTAATCAAAGTAATTCATTGTCTGATAGCACTATTAATGTGTCTTTCTTAAGTATAAAAACTGTTCAATTATTTGAGTAGCCACTACAACACAGTGCTTGACAAAAAAAAAAACTGTTCAAGGCATTCTAAAACAATTCAGATTTTCAGATTCAGTTTTATTAACTTAACAATTTCGATATATCACAACTTTAATGCAGAACTTAAAACCGCCCTAAAACTTTAAATTCAATAAACACAAAAAATATCCAATTATTTCTTGTACTGTCAAATAGCAAAGGCTTTTGTTTTTGAAGTCTTTTTGCCATATTTAATTAAAATTGCAATTCAATATAATGTAAAGTCCCCTCTTTACATTATTGTGCGCATACCATTTTATTTATAATTAACTTTCAGCAATTATTACAATTAAAATTTAAGTTAAAATTCTTTTAGAAACTAAAATAAATGTAATTCATTTATTCCATAAATGTATACTTAATGTAATTAAGAAGTTAAAATTAGCCAAAAAATTAAATAAAATTTAATTACAGAAAAATTTGACTCATAACCATAAGAAATTTATATAGTGATAAAATGTAACATTAAATTGTAACTTGGAATTAAAAAATAATTGATTGCCATACCAAAAAAAAAAGAAATAATTATTAATTGTGATAAATTCGCAAAATTAGTTAAATTATGGAAATTTAAAAAGGAAAATTCTTGTATCAATTTTTATGTCTAAAGTACTATTGAAATTAAAAAAAAAAATGTAAACACTGTCATACACTATTGATAAAATAAAATCAGTAAAATTCAAGTACGGGAAACTCTTAAATGTGCAAATATAGGAATTTTCCATTTTCTGTTATGAATATTTATTGTGAATATCAAAAAAAAATTTTAATTTTTAATTTTGAAATATTGTGTTTAGAAGGTATTCTCAAAAACAATTTTAGTTTTTAGGTGATATAGAAACGTTCGATACACTGCGCTTTAGTGCATTGCACCACTCAAACATTTCAACGCAATATACATACCTTTATTGAACAGCTTCTCTAATAACAATTAATCATAAATATGTCAAATGACAACTGAAATTTGTGTTATTCATTCATAATTTTTAATTTAAATGTGGAATGAATGAAAACTTAAAAAAATATGAACCGCTGCATCATAATTCATAGCTTTTCTTGTTAAATACATACAAATGTATATGAAAAAACATGTCATTCAAGCACTCTAAAATGAAAATCATTTAGTCACAAATCTTTATATGCAAAATGCATTGGAATATACAGCGGTCTATATACGTTAACTGTTTTATTTGTACATTAATATCAATTTATAATCATGAGACTCGCTTGTCTATATGGAATTATGCATGTGTACTGAAAACTATATACCAGAAAAAATATTGTAGTTACAAATTACTTTTTCTGAATGCCAAATATCTCTACTCCAAAACGAGTTTGTGGAAAAAGGATGTAAAATGAAGTGTGAAAAAATACACGTATTGACCATTATAGGATTCTTCCGAATTCAATGTATACAAACTCTAGGTAGTGTGAAATAAAATTCAGATTACATAAAGTGTTGCCTTACTCGGCATACATAATGACATTTTGCTAATAGCAATGACATTTTGCGAAATTAAATTTTAAAATTATTTGATTTAAAGAACATTGTAGATTTCCTAATTCTCTAAATAATTCGTGCAAATTTCATTTTAACCAAGATACATATTCAAGATATTTTAATTTTTTTTTCTTATTTATGTACATAAATGCTTATTTATTATAAAAATATATATTTTAAAATAATATGCCTTTAAAAAAAATACCAATATATTAGTAAATTCGTTAACAAAAATTTTATACATACTAAATTAATTAAATTTTAAATTCAAAGTGAAATAATTTTAGTTTTTCACAAATTAATATGCAATTATATACTAGTTATTTGTGAATTGATTAAAAATTAAATAGAAAATGTCAAATTTAAAATTAAAAATGTTTCGCCGTCACAAAAATACATACTTAAATTAATATTATAACTCTATACACACATACATATACTTATAAATATACTCGTACATATATAAATTTGTATGCATGTATAAAAAAAATTCTGACTTCAACTTCGACTTCGGTTCAGGGTTTTTACACTTTCACTTAATTGATTAACATTTGTATAATAAAAATTATTTGTTTTCTTTTCGGATTTTTTATTAAATATTATATCAAACCGATTAAATCAATATTGACAATATTGTTAAGTGCTTATAGATGTGATAACAATTAATAAATGAATGAAATTTTTAATGAAAACGAATCAAGTTGATAACCATTTTCGTAATCTATAAAATTTTTTAAAATATGTTTCATACTTTTATACTATTATCATAACTGTTATGTATGAAAATACTCGTACTGGACTGTAAAAAATTGACACAATTTTGATAACCCAGCACATATATGTACATAATTTCAGATTAAAAAATTATTTTTCGATACAAAATACATTAAAATTTTATGATTTTGTATGTATTCGTATATTGAAATTTTGTAATTGATGTAAAAAATGTACGTCTATAAATATTTTACAAATAAAATATACATGCATACATACAAATAAATTTATTAAAGGCCCGAAACTTCAAAATCACATTGATATTGTATTGCTAAATAATTCAGCAATTAAAAATCACAGGCTGAATTTATGTATAAATATCTTATTATTGTAATTTTGAAGTCATGGCATATTTTTATATTTATACATTATATAACAAAATGTATTATTATATAAGTTAAACAATTAGATCCAATGAAAAAATTATGTATATATAAATATTAAATTATTATAATAAATGTTGATGTTATGTAAATTAATGGCTGTTTAGAATAAATAAATGTGTGTACCTTAAAATTTCAAAGAAAATAAAAATATAAAATTATATACATATATAATGAAAAAAAAAAAAACCATAATACAAAACCTTATATATACATATTTATATATATGTAACGTATGTACATATATATAAGTTGATCACACAATAGATATATATAAAAACTATTTATATACAGTTATTTTACAGAAAAAAAAACCTATATATATATATATACATATTGTGTATATAACATGTATTTACTTAGTATGTACATCGTTATTTACATTATATATACTGAAAAAATTGTAGTGATGTTTTTAGTAAAATATTTACTCTCAAAAGTTGTTATTTAATATTTTATATATTAATTTAAAATTGTATAGTTCTATATTTTATTTATAATATTTATGTAAATAAAAATGAAAAATAAAATATATATATATATATATACATAATATTAGAAATTTGATAACATTTTATATGAAAATGTTATATTAATAAGAAAAAAAATATATAAAAAAAAATATTAATTACAATAAGTCAAAATTCAATCAAAAACTCTTACAGGGTTAATTTAATAAAATCAAAAAAAAAGAATTATAAAAATATAAATAAATTATAAATGGAAATTGTTAACCCCATATATTATATAAATTAAAAATTCTTATTTAAAAGAAATGAGACATAAAAATGATATAAAATAAACATACAATAAATCATTTCAGAATTGTTCGAAAGTATAACTTTCTCTTTTTTTTTTAGAATTTTAAATATTAAAAATACTTGAGACATAACAGTAATTTATAAAACACAATTATTATATTAAATTTTTAGTGTTTTAATATCATTTTCGACATTTAAAATATTCCATACATGTTAATCTCTGACGTCAAAATTTCTAAAATAAGGTATTTACATAAAATTCAGCTTATAAGCTATAATTGCTGAATTACAAAGTAATATAATATTATTAAGGTTTTTGAAGTCGTGGAATGTACACATGTCTATGTAGATCTAGAATTAACTTAATTTATTCAGCAATATAAAATTTCATTGCTGGTTAAATTAAATTAAAGATAGTTACATAAGACAATGTAATTGATTTTTTAAAAAAATTAAAATATTTTTAAAGCTTTTCAAATATTTACGAAAAGCGATGTGTCTACAAAATTGCCGTAAAACCATATCGCCATAAAATTCAGCAATTTAAATTCATAAGCTAAATTTTTTGGAATTAGGAATGTTTTTTGAAACTGAATTTTCCATTATATTTTGTCACAAAAAAATGGAACAGGTTTCCAAAATGAAAATATTTGTATAAAATTTGTTATGATTTGTTGTTAAAGGATGCAATTGTTTGCATCATCATTTAAAACATGTTGAAGTATTTTTGAAATACTATTAATAAAAAAAAATACAATAAGTCGCCAATATAAAAAAAAATCTCGGTTATCAGAAAATGTAAGATTATTGTCAATCTACTTTATTCAGCAATTGTAAATTCAATTGCTGAATAAAGTAAACTGCTAAAGGTCACGGGATTAATTTTAATATAAACATTTCTTTTAAAAATAAAAATTTCTTAAGACATACATTAATTTTTTTTTTGTTTTAAATATGAAAAAAATTTTTATATTGACATCGGAATTGCTGTAAAACTGTATTAATACATAATTCATTTCCTAAATTTTAATTGCTGAATTATGTATAATCATATAATATAACTGTTATCTCAGATGCCATTAAAATTTAAAAGAGGCAAATTGAAAAAGAATGTTAAGACTATAATATTTGTATTGCAAGTTCAAAATAGGAAAAAAAAAAATTAAAATAAAACCTAGTAAATAAATAGTCAATATATAATTAGACTGGGATTAGGAAAATCTTTAAAGAAAGATGAATAGAACAAATTTTGTAAAAACAAAAATGTAAGTATAAAAAATTGCATAAAAATTGTATTGGAAAATAAATCGGGACCATATGCTTATATTTTGGAACTATATCCATAATTAACTATATGCTTCTTGAAATTGAAAACGAAAAGAGAAATATTCGTAAATAATCTGAAATTTTCTAAAAAGTAAATAAATTGAAAATGTTTTTGTTAATAAGATTACAAGATACAAGATTTTTTTTATATATTATTGTTTGTAAACATATAATACCTGCTTCTTAAACTAAAAAAAAACAGTCAGTTAGTGGTTCTCTGTTAGAATATATATATATTGAATTTATATACATGTTATATACATGTTATATACATGTTATATATATGAATAAACGAAATATATTTCTATATACTTTTATGCTATTATAATATAATTTACAGAATCCCTGAAATTGACAAAATCCAAATAATACGGTATTAATACACAATTCAGTTTAATAATTTTTATTGCCCAATCATGTATAGCATTTTTTATTCAATATGCTGAAAATATATTTTCTTATATTATTTGATGTCCTAACATCCAAATTGAGACAACATCATATTATTAGATTATTGAATGATATACAACACAATTTAAAAATTAATATCTATAAGCTGAATTGTGTAATTATAACACAAATTAAATTTGTTATTTTCATACTACTAACATTATAGTACTAAAATTATTTTGCTACATTATTAATA